AAAAAATTCAAAATTTATATAATATATATAATAATGGATTTAAAATATTTTTAATTAAGATATTATATTATTAGTTTTTATTATTTTGTTTAAATTCTTAATGACCATCTATATTCATGGAGATTCTATAAATATTCCATTCCAAAAATGGAAACTTACCAAAAACACAGGTCTCCGCAAAGTCGTAAGACCATATTCCATGGTATTTACATGAGGTTTTTATTTCTTATTCTTATAACGAATCCGGGTATTTGGAGTTACGAAGCGTAGGAGACATCTCTATTTTTCCCCCCGGGAATCTTTAGAATTACCACTGCGTAGTAATTAAAATATTATATTTTATTGATTTATTTTAATTCTGGAAAGCAGTCAAGAATAAAGTAAACTCTAAGTAATCTACTGCCCTAACTAAACCATCAAAAGCGGATGCAGCTTTGTAAGGTCGTTTTCCATATCCGTTGTCTGAGACGACCCAGAAAGCAATTGATCATATCACGATCTATTTTATAAGTCTACTTGGGTTGTACAAGTTATATGTTTCGTCACCACTTTGTGGAAAAGCCTTAAGTATGAATATGTTAGATACCTATGACATATTATTAAATACTGTATCTGAATTTTTTTAAAGATATCTTCTTTAATTATTTTATATATTTTTTGACTAGTTTTTTTTAAATAATTTATTTATCGGTTAACTTACTGGATACCACCAAACATATCCTTAGGTGACTTTTGGTTTGCAGGATGTTTTCGGGTGTAATAGAATCTGTAAAGCAATTTGACTTTGAAGGAATTTGAATGAAATGTTGTCAGATTTGAACACCTGTTTGGTTAACATACATTCCTTAAAGGAATTGAAATATGTCTGTTTTATTCACCGAATGTAGCTTTTGAATTGAAATGAAATATCGGTAAGCGATCCAAATACCATTTTTTGAAAACTTTAAATTTTTTCAAACTAAAAATACATTAATAAAACAATCATTTAATGTGTAAAACAATATAAAATATACAACATCCCTAATGCATTAAACACATAAACAACGTAACAAGAAAAAATTATTAACACAAGAACGAAAATCAAACATAATAAGATTGAGTCTTAGGTTGTCATTATACAGAAATCGAGCATAAAGAATAAAGTAGAAAAATATGTTATTAGTAAAAACGAGTAGAAAAAGAGTGAATTAAGTATGAAAAAACAAGTGAATCAAGCGAGGAAAAACGAGCAAAAATATCGAGTGGGGAAAAACGATATTACGGAGCAGAAATTGAAAGTAGAAATCAAGCATATAGTAGAGAGAAATCGAACCTGGAGAAGCTATGGAGAAAAAAGAAATCGAACCTGAGAAGCGACGGTGAGAGATAAAAAAATATTTGCCGCGGAGAAGAACATTTTAACATAATAGAGTTATGGGGTATATTTGAGATTATAAAATTAGAACATTCTATTCCATCAAAATACCATTTTATTGTCAAGAAATGTTTAAATCTCTTATTTGTATGAATTCAATGGATTTTGAATATGCAGTCCTCTAGAATAAACCAAACGGAAATAAAATTTGATCAATGAAATTCAAAATTTCAATTTCTTCAGATTTTTTTTTTGATTAACTTGAATATCCAACCCATTATGTAATTCGACTAATTTTAAGATGACCATCTGCTTTACAGATAATCCAAAGTCATTGCATTTAAATCTCTATAACCATAAATAGATTTTTATTTTTTCTTAAATTTAAACCCAAGATCTTCGATATTTTTTAGAGCCAAACTCAAACCAATTAAATGTATTGTTCAATTCCATCGGATTTGTATCAAAATAATGAATGCTAACATACGATTGTTAATTTAATCGTAATTTTATTTACGGAATTGACACGCTCAGATCTAAGTCTGTGTTTGCAGAGTGGATCCACCAGCACAGGTCTATTTCTCTTTCTCAAATGAAATTACTTCTCATTTACGCACCCACAAGTATAGCACTCGATCTCAAGTCGATTGATTGATATAATCGTCGGTTCTTTTTGATTAGGGCACAAAATTCTCAGATCTGAAGGTAAAAGTCACGCAACTTGTGTCGAAGTTTGTTTTTTTGGATTTAGAGAAACAAATGAATGTATCGAATTGATTTTCGCGTCTGAACGGTTTGGTTGATTAATTAGGGTTTGGAACCGAAACGGAACGAAGATGTTGACGAAGTTCGAGACGAAGAGTAATAGAGTGAAAGGGCTGAGTTTCCACAGCAAGAGACCATGGATCTTAGCTAGCCTTCACAGTGGTGTGATCCAGCTATGGGATTATAGAATGGGCACCCTCATCGATCGATTCGACGAACATGATGGGCCTGTTCGTGGCGTTCATTTTCACAAATCTCAGCCTCTTTTCGTTTCCGGAGGTAAGTTTGAATTCCCGTTGATGTGATATGCTTGCCCAGACTGTTTTCCTTAGATTTAATCAAGGGTGATGTATTCATAAAATGCATACAGCATTATCAAGTTTGTGAAGTTATACTTGTATCAAAGATGATTGGAGATAGCATTTAGAACCTATTTGTTTGGTTTAATGGCTTGACCCTTTATATTACATTAATAAGTTCGGTAAGTTGCTTAAGTTTTGTGGGACTGCTATGATTGAAACTCTACATTTGTTATTGTGGAAACACGTAATACTTTGCCATGATGCTTGGTAGTCTGTGTATGGAAAATACTGAAGTGATTTGGATCCGACCATGTCCTCTAGATGCTACACAATCTTTATAATTAGGCTCCATGTCTAATGGAAACAACTTGCAACCATTTATAAGCTTTAGGAGAATCTCAAAACCTTTCTTTCGTTGTTCTACACACACACACATATATAAATATATATATATACACACACATATAGTATCAAAAAGTTCAAACCTTTTTGATTCAATAAGTTTTGCATTGACAAATGGATCTTGCAGGAGATGATTACAAGATCAAAGTATGGAACTATAAACTGCATAGATGTTTGTTTACACTTCTTGGGCATCTTGATTACATCCGAACAGTTCAATTTCATCATGAGTCCCCCTGGATTGTTAGCTCTAGTGATGATCAAACTATCAGGATCTGGAATTGGCAGTCTCGTACTTGTATATCTGTATTGACAGGACACAACCATTATGTAATGTGTGCTTTGTTCCATCCGAAGGAGGACCTTGTTGTTTCAGCATCATTAGATCAGACTGTTAGGGTTTGGGATATTGGTGCACTGAGGAAGAAATCAGTTTCCCCTGCTGATGACATCCTCCGGTTGAGTCAGATGAATACAGATTTCTTTGGTGGGGTTGACGCTGTTGTAAAGTATGTCTTGGAGGGCCATGATCGAGGAGTCAATTGGGCTTCGTTCCATCCAACTCTCCCTCTTATTGTCTCAGGAGCTGATGATCGCCAAGTAAAAATATGGCGAATGAATGGTATGATTTTCAAGAATTTTTTTTATTTAAATCTGTGATAAGTACTAATCAGCTTGGCTGATCAGGAAATACAGACAAAGAACCTGATGACTAGTGACTACATATATTTTTTCACTTTGAAAGCACTTGGGTTGGCATCTATATATGATCTTTGTTGATATGTATGATGGCTAGTAAGTTAATGAACCTTGAATATGGACAAGTATAACGAAGTATTAAATATGCCTAATCAGCTAAAAGAGAAAATAGATAAACACACAACGACTTGCTAAATGAGAATTTAACAAACATAACCATAATGAGGGACAGATAGCGCTCTCCTTTCAGATGCTGTAATTGCTTATCAAATTCTGTTGAACAAAGAGACCTGTTTGAAAATTTCAAGAAGTGGATGCCATGTGGTTTCTTGTTAGTGAGAATATGCTTATGTTTTGTAGAAAACTATTAGTGCATGACTGCATGTTACTTGAATATCATGTAAACTGAACTAGAAGGCTTGGAATTGGCTGTTATTGATTTTTTTGTTAAAAGATGGTGGAAGGAGATGCTTGGATATATTACATACTTCTTTTACGGGCCTCCTTATCCTTTTTTAAGGGGAAGGGGGTGGGTGGTGGTTGGGTTCAGGTTCAGAAGCATGATTCTGAGGATCATGGCAGGGCTGTGAAACATTTATTTTTAGGTGGTTCTTAGGATGGTTTATTTTTCTTTACCGTGCCCAGGATTGCAAACCCATTTTGGAAGGAGTGTTTTGAAGGGACACCTGCTTCACATTTGTTCTTTTATCTCTAAGCGGACAGGCCTGCCACTAATTGGATCACATCTCTTATGCATTAAAAGAACAGGAATTATGACTGGAAAATAGCCTGAAACTGGGCAGGGTATTTAGGGTTGTTTCTTACTGTCTTATTGTTTTCATGTTTTCTTCGGCATTAGCTACCAAGGCTAGCCCTTGGTAGAGTGGTTTTCACTGCCTGTTAGTTTATGTGCATGATTCTCAACTTATAATTTATATGATGTCTGAGCTACTTAAACTCACCCAAAACCAACCCTGGAAAGAACAATGGCAAAATAGAATGTTGAGAGTAAAAAGTTATCAGGACAAGGATAAGAACATGGGAGAAGCATATGAATTAGACATTTGATTGAAGCTGGGCACCAGGTTGGTTAGAGCTTGTCTATTATGGAGCCTCTTTCATCATATAATTTCTTGCTAGCATTGGTTACTCTGTTTATTTTTGAGCAATGTGGTTCTCAATGCGTGTTCTTATTAAGTGTATGCTATTTGATGTACAATGATTTCCACCTACCCACCATGCTAGGGTACACACACACACACACACATATATATATATATATATATATATATATCTCAGGTAATCTATGTTGATGTCCTACTTATGGTACTAGTTGATAATGAATTTTCATGAAGGCATCTATTGAGGGCTTTGAATTTTTGCCATTGCTTTTGGGTTATTTTTGTGTTAATTCCTATCTTGGATATGGTGGAATGCCGTACCTGCTTGTTTTTAGCCGTGTTTCTAAAAACCTGAAAATTAACTTTCATCTATTCGTTTGCCTTACACTTAGAGTTTTATAATACTATTATAATCAATGATGAAGAATATGCGTTCATGTTTCAGATTCAAAAGCTTGGGAAGTAGACACTTTGAGAGGTCACATGAACAATGTTTCATCTGTTCTTTTCCATTCAAGGCAGGACATCATTGTATCAAACTCAGAGGATAAAAGTATACGCGTTTGGGATGCTACAAAACGAACAGGCCTTCAAACTTTTCGGCGGGAGCATGACAGGTTCTGGATTCTTGGGTGTCATCCTGAGATTAACCTTCTGGCTGCTGGCCATGATAGTGGCATGATAGTTTTCAAGTTGGAGAGGGAACGCCCAGCTTTCTCTGTTAGTGGGGATTCTCTGTACTATGTCAAAGACCGTTTTCTGCGCTTCTATGAGTACTCAAGTCAGAAAGAAGCTCAAATAATACCAATCCGTAGGCCAGGTTCTGCCAGCTTTAACCAGGGGCCTAGAACTCTTTCTTATAGCCCTACTGAGAATGCTGTTCTAATATGTTCAGATGTAGATGGGGGATCTTATGAACTCTATATTGTACCTAAAGATAGCTTCAGTAGAGGTGATACTGTCCAAGAGGCAAAAAGAGGTATTGGGGGTTCAGCAGTTTTTGTGGCCCGTAATAGATTTGCAGTGCTTGAGAAGAGTACCAATCAAGTGTTAGTCAAGAACTTAAAAAATGAGATAGTGAAAAAGAGTGCTCTTCCAGTTGTTACTGATGCTATCTTCTATGCGGGTACGGGTAACTTGCTATGCAGGGCAGAGGATAGAGTAGTCATATTTGACCTTCAGCAGCGAATGGTTCTGGGGGACCTTCAAACTTCTTTGATAAGGTATGTTGTGTGGTCAAATGACATGGAGAATGTTGCTTTGCTTAGCAAACATTCAATAATCATTGCTGATAAGAGACTTGTCCACCGCTGCACCCTTCATGAAACAATCCGTGTCAAAAGTGGATCGTGGGATGAGAATGGTGTATTCATATACACAACCCTAACCCACATTAAGTATTGCCTACCTAATGGGGACTGCGGAATCATAAGGACCCTTGATGTTCCTGTATACATTACAAAGATAATTGGAAATACAATCTGCTGCTTGGACCGAGATGGCAAAAACCGTGCAGTAGTTGTTGACTCAACTGAATATCTCTTCAAGTTGTCTCTGCTGAAGAAGAGATATGATCATGTTATGAGCATGATAAGGAACTCAGAGCTATGTGGGCAAGCCATGATCGCATATCTTCAACAAAAAGGTTTTCCAGAGGTTGCTCTTCATTTTGTGAAGGATGAGAGAACTCGCTTCAATTTAGCCCTCGAAAGTGGAAACATCCAGATTGCTGTTGCCTCTGCTAAAGAGATTGATGAAAAAGATCACTGGTATAGGTTGGGTGTGGAGGCCCTTCGTCAGGGCAACACTGGTATTGTTGAGTATGCATACCAGAGGACAAAGAACTTTGAGAGGCTGTCCTTCTTGTATCTGATCACAGGCAATTTAGATAAATTGTCCAAAATGATGAAGATTGCAGAGGTAAAAGATGATGTTATGGGTCAGTTTCACAATGCTTTGTACCTAGGTGATGTTAAAGAGCGAATTAAGATTTTGGAAAATGCTGGTCATCTTCCGCTAGCATTAGCTACAGCCAAGACCCATGGGTTGAATGATATTGCTGAAGGTCTTGCTGCTAAACTTGAAGGTGATGTTCCTTCTTTGCCCAGCAGTAGGTCCACTTCTCTATTAATTCCTCCAACTCCTGTCTTGTGTGGTGGGGACTGGCCATTACTAAGGGTCATGAAAGGAATCTTTGAGGGTGGTCTTGACAATGTTGGACGGGGTGCACAGGAAGAGTACGAGGATGCCGCAGATGCTGATTGGGGTGATGATTTGGATATTGTGGATGTGGAGAACATTCAGAATGGAGACATCAACATGGTGCTGGAGGATGAAGAAGCACATGAAGAAAATGAAGAGGGAGGTTGGGATCTTGAGGATCTCGAACTTCCTCCTGATACTGAAACCCTCAAAATAGCTACCACTGCCCGCACATCAGAGTTTGTGGCCCCAACTCCTGGCATGCCTGTGAGCCAGATTTGGGTCCAAAAATCATCTCTTGCTGCTGAACATGCAGCAGCAGGAAACTTTGACACCGCAATGCGCCTACTGAACCGACAGCTGGGAATAAAGAATTTTGCACCCTTGAAATCATTATTTATTGACCTTCACATGGGCAGCCATACTTATTTGCGTGCTTTCTCATCAGCTCCATTGATCTCCTTGGCCATTGAGAGAGGTTGGAGTGAATCAGCAAGCCCTAATGTCCGTTCCCCTCCTGCACTTGTGTTCAATTTTTCTCAGTTGGAAGACAAACTCAAGGCTGGTTACAAAGCTACCACTGTTGGGAAGTTTACTGAAGCTTTGCGGCTTTTTATGGGTATTCTCCATACAATTCCTCTGATTGTAGTCGAGTCGTGGAGAGAAGTGGATGAAGTTAAAGAATTGGTTATCATTGTAAAAGAGTATGTTCTGGGTCTACAGATGGAACTTAAAAGGCGAGAATTTAAGGACAACCCTGTTCGTCAGCAGGAGCTGGCAGCTTACTTTACTCACTGTAACCTTCAGCTGCCTCACTTGAGACTGGCCTTGGTGAATGCAATGACTGTATGCTACAAAGCAGGTAATCTCATCACAGCATCAAGCTTTGCCAGGCGTCTCTTGGAGACCAATCCAGCTGCTGAAAATCAAGCCCAAAAAGCCCGCTCTGTTCTGCAGGCGGCTGAGAGGAACATGAAGGACTCCACACAGCTGAATTATGACTTCAGAAATCCATTTGTAACTTGTGGGGCAACTTATGTTCCCATTTATCGGGGACAGAAGGATGTATTATGTCCATACTGCAGTTCACATTTTGTTCTCTCCCAGGAAGGACAGCTTTGTGCTGTTTGTAACCTTGCAGTGGTTGGATCTGATGCATCTGGTTTACTCTGTTCTCCAGCCCAGATCAGATGATCTCAAATTCTTTCTCCTAATGCCAGTCTCAGTTCTTTCTACAATTGGGTAATCCTCTCTCTCTGCCTCTCTCCCTCTTGGTTGTTTTAATTGAATGTAGGGATGGCCTGCTTGTTTTCATCAATAGCTGATCTATTTTATGCTAATTTTATACTGAATTAAGGTTCCAATTGCTTACCTTTTGTAGATGTTGATGGTTATGCTATAGCGTGTTGAAAAGACTTTAATCAGTAATATGCCCAGTTTCAATGTTCTGTTCTTTTTTGTCTGTTGGTGTTGGTATTATTGTTGACCATATGATCATGTGTGATTTAATGTGATCACTTTGTGCCTCTTTCCTTTCTTAATATTGCATGGCTTGGTAACATCTTTGCTCTCTTTCTGTGTGAACTGTTAAATTCTTCATTCATCACTATTTTATATGGAAATCTAGATTGCTGGTTCAAGCTTCTACAATACACAACTTGGTTAAGCTGTCATCATGAACAACCTCAAACCGTTCGTCAAATACAGTTTCTTTTAAATATTTCTCTACTTTTAATCGGAATAATTTGTTCTCCCTTTTTCTGCTTCTTTTGGTGAGCCTGATTAATCGTGAGTCAGCTGGAGTTTAGATCTTTGAATATTGATATAACATCAAAAACATTATTACTTCTGCTTTTATTTGATTCTTATTGGTGATTGTATGATTGTTGCGGCATTGTTCCTCGTATGTATAATAAAAAAGATAGTTGCACGTCTATGATGGGTTTTTTATTGGAGTCCACTCACTGTACAATCTACTGCTGTTATCTCCACTATCTCTTTTTATATGTCTATCATCATTAAGTGACTGTAGACTCCGATAAATTTTTGTAATTCTCGTTTTGCTATTTTTGTGACATTTAAACGGCCTGAATTCTTATTGATGTCTTTTTTCTTCTTTCAGTTTCTTTCTTTCTTCATGTTAATATATATGGTATTGATGCATTGTATATACTTCAGGGACTAGATTCTCATTAGTCTATAGTTAAGATAGATATAAGTACCTTGTTTCCTTTTATTTTCATTTTTTCCTTCAATAATATATCACAGAGAAACTTCTTAGTCGCCTCTATCAAATCCATTGTTTTGTAACATGGTATCAGAGATTTGGGCTCGTTCCTGTTTTCTGTTTATTATCACCTGTAATTGTGGGCTGTTCTTTTGACCTTAAGCAAATGACATCAATTAAATTAAGTCTCCTTAACTAGTCTTTCTTTAGTCGACGACACTGGTTTACGTTGTTTATCTAATCGACGGCTTCACTGGTTTACTTGACTCAACATGGGCCAGTCAACATCAGTCAATTGTGGTTTAATCAATTCTTTATCTGGTATCGTTTTTTCATCTAGTATCATCATCCAATATTGATTCTCACTGCTTTAATCGGTTCATATAGTTGCTTATTTGTTGCCACTGTTTATCAGTTTGGTATCATCAATTGATTGACGATATTGTGTTGCTTATTTGTTGGCTGTTGTTGCTGCTTCTGATTATTAAAACCTGCTATTGTTATTCATGCCTGCTTCACTATTGATTGAAGTACCTTGCTTTCTAAAACATGACAACTCCACTCGTCACCTCACCCTATTCTCTCGATAGATAAAACGATGTTATATGGGCTTGTCATATGGCTAGTTACATTCAATCCCGTGAATTGTGGAGAGTTGTCACCGGGGCTTTACCTTGTTCAAAAAGGATAAGTAAGGTCAATAAGACTTCGGTAATAGAGAAGAAAACTCGTGTAACAATGGGAAAATTATTACGATCTTGTGTAACACTTCGACACCTAAGATCAATCAGCAATTTAGGTCGTTCGTTACCGAAAAGGAAATATGGGATTTTCTGAGAGTTTGCTATACTACCAGAGACTTGGTCCATCGGTCTCAGCTTCTTAATGCCTCCACAGCAAACCTCAACAATTAGGAATCCATCAGTGTTCTCTTATCAGGAATGCAAGTTATATGGAATCAATTAACTCTTGAAGGACCCACGAGTGTTCAGAAGATGCCATGATTGTTGCTACACATCATAAAATCTCATGATCTTTCGCATGGCACTCTATGAGCGTTATGAACCGGTACGAGCTTCACTTCTGGATTGCTATCCTCAGCCCACACTTGAGTCTGCCATTATTGGACTCATTTACGAAGAAATTATATTGGGAGTACCTGCTTGTCCTACTACACCTACTGATGGGTAACTACTAGTTATTCTTAGTTACAAAGGCAACCAAAAGATTATAGGAATCATACATCGCTTCTGCCATAATACTAGTCTTTAACCATTGGTTTGTTCTTATTGTTGCAAATGTTGTTGGAGGAAAAATCCAAGACATCACATTTGATTTGCTTCAAGCACCGAGATCGCAGCAAATCTCTTACCGGTGCCACTGCTTATCAAGATTCATCTACCATGCCTTCAGGGGCATCACATGCGTAGAAGCCCAATACATTTACTTCTGATGATGTTATTGGGCTCATGAAATAGGTGATGGCTGGTTCTTTGAACACCATAGCTATTGCTACACAACTAAAGCTACTTTTTGGCTATTTAACTCTAGTTGCAATCATATGAGACAAAAGCCTGATATTTTTGTCACAAGGACATCGAGTACATCCGTATTTACCATAGAGACGGAACACAATTACCCTTACAACATGGAGGTCATGATTCCACCTCTCAGTTATCTTTATCCGATACACTTTACTTTCCCAAACTCTTAGTTAGGTGCTGTTTGGTTCCTGAAATTGAAATGGTCGATTCCTTTGACCAAATTCTATTCCTTTGTTTGGTTCAATATTTTATTGAAATTCGATGCTTCAAATTCCTTCAAATTCCTCCAATCACAATCACATATTTGTCCCTTCTTTGGGGTTTAGTAAAGAATTCATTTATTAAATTCCGTTTCAAAAGGCACAAATACCCCCAAACCAAATAAAATGAATGAGTCTTCTTCCATTTTCATCAGCTCTCTTCTTCTTCCATCTTTATCATTTCCTCCTCTCGATCTTGCTCGATCTGTAATAGACCTCGATCTTGCTCTCTTCTAAGTTTCAGCAACACACTCGATCTACAAAGATTGAAGCTCAACCTTCCTACTCATGATCTTGTTCATTATTTAGGATTGGAACCCATCAATTATGTGTGTGTACTCTGTGAAGACCCAAATAGGATTCGTGTATCAAATCTTGAACCCAAATGTGAAAACCTAGATGTAAAAAGGAGATATCTCCATGCTCGTTTTTCTGCAATCCTCTCTTCTCTATCACTGGGGTCTTTTTCAATCCGATCTCACCGAGTAACAATCACTTGGTTTCACGGTTTGGGATCTCAATATATGTTTTTTGGAGTAATGTTCTTCTCCATGTGGGTATAACGGGAAAATGGAGGTCTAATGATAGAAACAAGGGAAAAAATAACCAACTGGAAAATGAACAAGTTATTGTGAATGAAAACTAAGAAGGGCAAGATGGTAATTCATAGTGATGATGGATGAGGGGTTTGGTTTTGAGGAATTATTGAGGGTATCAACTTATGTGGAGGGAAAGAGCAACAATGAGATAGTGGATGGTGGTTGGACGTGGTTCTAGTGCGGCGGCAGGAGTTTGAGGCAGAGGTGGAAGCCATAGGTTTGGCTTAACCAGTTTGGGTAATTGTTTTCAAATCTTAATATTATAGATGAACCAGAAATGGTAATTTTACAAAAAATATCGTAAAAAAGGTATTTGGTCATTTATCATTGTTTCATTGCATTATCGAAGAAACAAATAGGTTCCAATTCCTCCAAAAGATTCCATTCCAATTCTTGCCAACCAAATGTATGGTTAAACCTAGTTAAATTTCATTCTAATTTCTTTGACAAATTCTATTTTTTTGAAAAACGTTTGGCGAACCAAACGCCACCTTAGTTATATTTCAATTAGCCAACTTTGTGATATGGATGTAAGTATTATAATTTCTTCCTCTGGCTGTTTGTGTTAGAGATCCCTAGACAAAAACAGACTATTTGGATAGGCCATAGAGTCGGGCAGACGTTTGAGCTAGTCTACCTCAACATACCTAAATTCCTTGCACCCATTTACCTCTCAGCATTTGCTGCCTCACACAGTTCTATAGATACTTAGCATTCCAATTTAGGACATCCTTTTACAGAGTTAAACTACCTTGTTTCATCTAGTATTTTGGTTCTGGATAAACTGAAAAATCATCTTGTCTACTTGGAAAACAACGCAAATTAACTTATATACAAATGATACTACTTTAGTTGCACCGTTTGATTTGATACACTTGATTTATGGGGACCTCAAGCTACCATGGGAGGCTCAAAGTATTTTCTCAGTTTTGGAGGATCATACTCCTTTCACTTAGATCTATCTTATGAAAAAAAGTCTGAACTACTTGAACTATACATGAACTTTGCATGTATGATCCAAACCCAATTTGCCGAACACATGTTGAGTACAGAGAACACTTTTTTTTTTTTTAATTCCTTTGCCAACTAGGCACCTTCTCCTGATACTCATGCCCTATCACCTCTTGACAAAATTATAGTGCTGAACCAAAGCACCATAATATGACTCATATCCTAAACACTATTCATATTTCGTTGATTTTAGCTTTCTATATCTTTAATCTGACATCCTACACCTGATCTCACAATAAGTTTCCATGTGAAATCTTTTAAGGTTTGACTCTAGCTTATAATCTCCTCAAGATTGGGAAGGGGGGGGGGGTTGCTGCTTGTTCTACTTCAACCCTATGCACACCCATTTCAACCTTTGTTTGTGTCTCTGTTGCTTTTTGGGATATGATATCAAACATAAAGGATATCCGTATTAGGATCCTATCTCCAAAGGATTATGTATATCTCATTATATTGTGTTCTAGGAATACAAGATGTTTTCCTCCATTTCAACATTTAAGTCCCGATCCAACTCTCCATCTCGTCTATTTATCAGTGCACTCATTCAGTTGCTTCCAAAACCATAATCATTACCTAATCCACACTCGGAATGAAGTCATTCCTGGTTCTTTGGAGCCTTTTCTTCCAAACCATAATCGGAGACACCAACCACTTTTCACCTACATCTACATCTACATCTGCTTCCCCTGAAGATCATGCTACCGGCCAATATATCTACCTTATTTCTGCACATATCTGAAGTTTGTACAAAGAAGCATCCACTAACCAACTTTGGCAGAAAGCCATGTCTGAAAACTTAGAGGCTCTTGATAAGGCTTAGACATGGGAAATTGTACCTCTTTCTTATGGAAAAGGCATCATTGGTTCCAAGCGTATTTGAAGTCGAGGCAAAGTTAGACGGGTAAGTTGATTGGAATAAAGCTAGGCTAGTAGCTAAAGGGTTCAATCAAGAGTACGATATTGACTATGAGGAGACTTTTGCTGGAGTTGCTTGGGTCACATCAGTTTGTAGCCTTGTTGCTGTTATACGCAAATGGCAACTCTATCAAGATGCATGTTAAGAATGTCTTTGTTAATGGTGGTCTATTATAGGAAGTTTACATGAAACCTCCTCCCTAGGTGTTGCATCTGCTCAACCACGTTTGCGTTCTAGGAAAGGCTGAGAAACAGGCACCAAGAGCTTGGTTTGAGAATTTCGCACCAGTATTTGGTCCTTGGATTTTATTGCCATCAACTATGATCAGGCCTTTTCACCAAAACCATCGGTGTTGGCACTATTCTTCTCCTTTATGGATGTTGATGATATGATCATCTCAGATAGTGACACATAGGGAATTGTCAAATTGAAAAAGTCTCTCTAACAACATTTTGAAATGAAGGATTTGGGTTTACTTCATTATTTTCTGAGCATTGAGGTACTTACACAGGATGATGGTATCCATTTTGTCTCTTTAGCCCGTATCACTACTATACCGCTAGAATCCAAGTTTCTTCTTACACCAAGTGATAGGTCTCCCCTTTGTGACCCTACACTTTGTTGTCAACTTGTATGCTCCTTGGCGTCTATGGCTATTACTTGTATGGTACTTGCATTTGCTATTCATATTGTTAGTCAATTTATGGCTTCCCCTTGGACGTTTCACTATACCGCAGTTATATGGATCTTGCGATACATTAAAGTTGATGTTCCATGGTTTATGTTTCTTCTCAACTTCATCCCTTGAACATCGTGCCTTCTTCGATGTTAATTGGGTGGTTATGTTTCTGGTCATTGTTTCTTCTTTGGAGACCTCATCTTTTGGCGCAACAAGAAACAATCTCTTATTGTATGCTCTAGTACCAAAGCTGAGGTACCATGCTCTTGCTGATACTACACAAGGTTTGGTATGGCTTCACAGACTCCTATCCAATATGGGCATTTCTCAGTTCTCATCAACAGTCCCATGTTTTGATAACAAAAGTGATGTGTTTCATGAACGTATTCGTCAACATTTCATCCGCAATACCTTACCTATATACGTAGTATTGTACAGTTAAGATGGGTATGATTTATAAATACATTTATCTTCTTGTATTATTCACTTGTTGTTTTTTGAATAAAATATCACAGAAAGCCTCTATGATTTGTTTATGACATTGATGGCTTGTTTAAATTGTTGCAGTTGGGTTTGGATTGAAAAACTTACAAGTAGAGCGGAATACCCATCATATCCTGTTGCCATTCAGGTTGGTTGCTGACTGATAATGGTATGTTCCAATATTTTTGTTAATTGAAAAGATCCCCTCCCCCCACCAGAGTGAGAGTATAAAAAGGTGAGAATAGGTTTCGGAATTAAAATCATATTGTTTTTGGGTTAATTAGTACAATTTATTGAACTGAGATATGAGTTTTCATGGTGTCATCTGCAAAGGTGATACCCACCCATGGGAGTTGTTGTATGTAGTAATTGAGCAGAATTTGCAATAATCTTATATATTTTTTCATAAACGGTTGATGTACAATTTTTATTGCATAAATCTTAGATGCGACTTGTGATTTTTTTTAGATTCTAAACTTTCATCCACTAAATGCATATTCTTTGTTTTATTGGGAAATTGTTTTTTCTGTCTCAAATCTGAAGCTTTAACATAGACTTCATGTAGGTGAAAGTGGTTGTTTATTGTTAAAAGGCAACATTCTCACGTACCTTACCGGTTAAGATTTTAGTCCATTAAAACGACATCATATGCAATAATTTTTCTGGTAAACCTTGACTATGTAATAGGCATTACATATATTTACCGGGAAAGACTTTTAGTCCTTGTTATTGTTTTACTGGGTAAGATCCTCGGTATACGAACCAAGTTATTTTGGTTTAGTTTTGTGATTCAAATACCATTTTGGTTTCCTATGTCTTACTCTTAATTATTAAGTGGTTTTTATTTGAATTTATTAAAGAAAAGAGAAAGATATATGATGTATGAGTTGATGTAAGCATAGTAAGGTACATTTATTCAGAGCATCTTTGATGATAATGCTAATATAGAGATTTTAAAGATTTGGGGGTATTTTTGTTATGCTAAAATAGAAAAAAAATTGGGAGTGTAAATCTCCAAATTTGGAGAAATTTCTAAAGTGGTGTTTGGTTCGAAGATTCTGAAGGAATTTGATAGAATTGGAATTTTGAATTCCTTTGATCAAATTTCATTTCCTCGTTTGATTTTTTTTACAAAAGAAATCTTCAAAGTTCATCGAAATTCATTTCTTCCAAAACCATTATGTGAACCAAATGCCACTTAAAACTCTATATTTACAAGAAAATTAATATTTAATTCTTTCTTGTTAATAGAAGACGTTGAAATTAAGTGTTTATGAGAGAAAAATAATATGAATATTTTAATAATATAGTTAATGATAAAATTGTTAAGATAGAGTAACTAAGGTGGCGTTTGGTTCGCAAAATGTTTTTGGATAGAATGAAATCTGTTAAAGAAATTTGACTTTGAAAGAATTTGAATGGAATGTTGTCAAGTTTGACCACCTGTTTGGTTGGCAGATATTGGAATGAAATATGTTAAGAAATTGGAATGTCTGTTTGGTTCCCAATATGTAGCTTTAGAATTAGAATGAAATATTGGTAAATGAGCAAAATGACCTTTTCTAAAATAATAATTTAATATGTAAAACAATATAAAATACACAACCCCAATATAACCATAAGCCAAACAATGTTACTAAATCAACGGTGGTCAGCTATGGTTCAAATTGGTGGTGGTCCACGGTGGTTCAGATCGGTGGTGGTCGGCGGTGGTTCAAATTGATGGTGGTCCACGGTGGTTCAGATCGGTGGTGGTCGACGGTGGTTCAAATCGGTGGTGGTCCACGGTGGTTTAGATCGGTGGTGGTCCGCAGTGGTTCAGATCGATGGTGGTCGGCATTGGTTCAGATGGAGGTGGTTAGCGATGGTTTATATGGACGATGGTTGAGATCGGCGGTGGCGACGGTGGTTTAGATCGATGGTTGTTCAAATTGCTGGCGGTCAACGGTGTCCAACGGTGATTCAGATCGGTAGTAGTCGCCGGTGGTGCCAGTGGCTCAGATCGGTGGTGGTTCGTGGTGCTTCGGGTGGTGGTGGTCGGATATGGTTCAAATCGATGGTGGTTCAGATCGATGGTTGTTCAAATTGGTGATGATCGTCGGTGGTTCGGATCGCGGTGGTCGGTGGTTATTCAAATCGGTAGTAGTTGGTGGTGGTTCAGATTGATGGTGGTCTGTGGTGGTTCAGATGGTGATGATTGACAGTGGTTCAGATCGGTGGTGGTCCATGGTGGTTCAGATGGCGGTGGTTCAGATCGACGGTGGATCAGATCGGTGGTGGTTCAGATTAGCGGTGTCCGGCGATGGTTCATATCGGTAGTGGTTGGCGGTGGTTCAGATCAGCGGTGATTCAAATTGATGGTGGTCAACGGTGGTTCAGATCTGTGGTAGTCGGCAGTGGTTCAGATGACGATGGTCGGCGGTGGTTCAAATTGGTCGTGGTTCAGATCAGTGGTGATTCAAATTGGTGGTGGTCAGCGGTGGTTCAGATCTGTGGTAGTAGACAGTGGTTCAGATGACGATGATCGCCGGTGATTCAGATCGATAATGGTCGAAGGTGGTCGACAATGGTCATAGTGGGTTTTATGAGAATATGGTATAATGAGTTAAGAGCATATTTGGTATTATGAAAATAGAGAATTTCATTCCCTCAAAATACCATGTAGTTGCTAAAAAATGTTGAATTTCTTTATCTGTGGAATTTGTAGAATTTTGAAGATTAATTCCGCGAAAAAAAATGCACCAAACGGGGAAATGAAATTTGGTCAATAAAATTCAAACATTCCAATTTCAATCATATTTCTTTACAATTTGCAAACCAAACGCGACTTAAAAATTTTAATTTTTAATATTTTTAATTTTTCTAATAAAAAGATATGTTATTTTGAAGAACTAAACATAATTTTTTTTTATCATGATACTAAATTTTCCAATAAAAGAGGTAGCCACGTTATAAAATTTTGTCATTATAAAAGTTGATGAAAATTTATAAATTTAAAAAAGTAGTATTGTAAATTTTGTTTTGTTATCGCTTGAAATGATGCTAAAATTTATTAATGATTTTATTCTGTTCATTTATTTAATGCTTACTAGATAAACACTTATCAGCAAGAGTCACCACTAACTTATCTTATCGGGTAATATGCTCGATCGTAAAAATAGGTTGTCGTTAGGTGTCTCTTATCCAATAAGCGTTAACCGTGTAAGAGTCTTTTCCTTCAATTACCGAATAAGATTCTCGGCCTTTGTTATGCCTCTTACCATGTAAAATTTCCGGTCCTTGCCATGATCACCTTGTTAGGCAAGTGACACTTGGTAAACACTCGGGGGCTTTTACCAAACTTTTATCTGGTAAACACTTACCAAGTCACCATCATCTTATCGGATAAACATGGAAAATATCGAAAAATCTTACACAATAAGAACGATAACAAAGAGAAAGTCTTACCTTGTGAGTGAGGGTGATGACTCTTACCCGGCTAGCAGTTATCGGATAAATTGTCGCATACAATACAGTTTTGATGAACTAAAATCTTAATCAGTAATATTAGTCATAATGTTGAATTTTAACAGATAAATGTTTGGATAAACGATCCTTTACTCAATAAATATTTAATAAACGGTCCCTTAGCTTGACCATAATAAACGACCCCTTGGTTTGTAAGCTAAGTTAGAAGGCATTATGCACTTAGTGTCTTGCTTTTTAATAATGAATGGTTAGACCCAATCATGCTCCGCATATGCAAGTTTTAGGATTTCCTTTCCAACTTGATGATTTTGTAAGATTTGAATGATCATAGTTTATACTACTTAACCGTATAATATTTAGGGGTCGTTTACCCAATTGCTTACCCGGTAAACGCTTACCAATATGAGTCAACACTATAATTTATTTTGATGTGTAAGATTTTAGTACATCAAAACACATCGAATGCAACAATTTACTGGGTAACCACTTACATGGGTAAGAGTCGCCATCCTTACTTACCGGGTAAGACTCTCCATCCTTCTTATCTCTCTTACCTGGTAAGATTCTTGGCCCTTCTCATGTTCATCAAATGAGGAAACTTATACGTTAAACACTTACCAAATAAGTGTTTAGTAAACGACCCTTTTGTTCGAATTATCTAAAAAAGCTTAATATATAAAAATAAATAAATACAAATAATTAACAAGCAAAGTACAGAATCTTTTTTTTATTTGACATATTACAAACGCAAGAACAAGACAGATAGTAATCGTTGCATATATAAGTGGAAATCGTCAAGTTTTAAAATATGATTTTGAAGTTTGATGTTAATAGCACATGTTACGGAATGGATTAGCATCACTTTTGATGTTAAATCTGAATCTTTAATGCGGTGGAGTTCTCCATTGAGTATAGAAGCAACGAGAATGTTGTTGTGATGAATAGGCTACTAAAAACATGGAATCTTTAGTTAGACTGATGATTAAGCGTGTTCTTAGGATGATAGACGTGTTAATATTGTTTGTATGCAAAAAGAATGAGCATTTATGATGTTGGTATAGGAAAACTTGAACAAGAAGTCACGGATATGAATCCGTCAATCATCTGTGCATCAAACACGAGCCCATGTGTGACCTGGCTAGCTCGCAAACGACGTAGTTTCTACTGGTGTGTGTTTGCTAGGTAAGTTGGTATCAATATTTTCAATAGTTGTTGAGACACTTAATGTTCAATATCCAATTTTAGAAATGAATGATTCAATTAAGACAAGTACACACATCACAAGGACGTTTGTACCGTGTCACATCAGTGTAGCAGGTGCTCCCATAGATCGATGACGATGCTCTAGTTACTCAATATATGTATATATGCATATGTGCATGGATGTAACTATGTTTTCAACAATGTTTCTATTATATGCATAAGTATTTTTACGATATCATTTTCACCAACAACATGAAGTATGTTTTATATGCATGTTTTTCAATGTTATCAATACGATAAGACAAGTTCGTATATGTGATACCATTATTTTAAATAACCTCGTTTAGTAAACGACACCGATGGTAAAGTAATAGACTCTATAAACACAAATTTTTCATTGGTTAAAAAATATCAACGATTATTATATACGAAGCCAATTTAGATAAGAACGTTAAATATTGTAACAAGGTAAAAAGAGAAGTTAAATGAAAGTTTGTATATGAAGATTGAAATAATATGAAAAAGACATATCTCAGAAAATATATATATATACATATATATATAAACCGACATTATAAATTATTCATATAGGTTCACATATGCATTTTGAAATGAAACGTTATATATATATATATATATATATATATGTATGTATGTATAAAGAGAAAAAAGACATGCAATTTGCATCCACAACCACACAAAATAAAAATTGTATAAACACTAATTTAATTGTTGGTTTGTGAAATATTCATGATTACCGTTTTA